TATAATTTTTAAATTAAATTATGTGATAATTAAAATAATTAGAAGAACATTATTAAGTTAATAATTTTATTATGTTTAATTTTGAATTATGTATTAAAATCCAAGTGATAAAATGAAAATGGAATGAACAAAAACTATCATCTAGTTGAGATGGTAGATGATAGTCATTATCTATTGTAATCAATAATCTATAAGTTCAAGATGTCATTTTCAAGTAAAATATGACAAAATTTTTTCTAAGAGAACACAGTAAAACCTCCATAGTAATTATTGCATGCTACTGATTTTTAATCGTCTCTTAAATCACAACATATTACACTTATTATATTTTTGTAATTTTCTTTTAACATAATTTATTGAATGCAAATTTCTGCCATAATATATTATTAATTTATTTTTGCTATTATTGATATTATTTTGCAGGATCTAAAAGATTATGCAGGACCTGTACAAATATTAGAAAATTATCCAGCAAAAGGATTTTGTATAAAATATTCTAACGTTTGTAATATAGAAAATTTTGTTAATTGGACATTTTTAATAATAAACTATTTGCAAAATGCACAAATAGCACACAATGTTTATATTACAAGAGCAAAATTAAATATTGAAGAAGAATACAAAGATTTACGGGTATATATTTGGGCTAGGAAATCCTATAAAGGCACAAAAGTCATGGATGCTTTTAATCCAGCAGCTTGTGAACTTTTTGGACATTTGACAATAACATGTAAGTAACTTTTAGTATGCATATAATCCATTGTAATAGTTTCTTCATATAATCGTGAAAATTTATAAACTTTTTGTTTATGCATGTAATATTTTATGTTTCAACATAACATTTTACAATTTTGTTAATTGTTAACCGACTATATTAATAATAAATCAACTGCGTTTCATGATATTCACGTATGTAGATGATTCGTGCTATATCTTATGATGAGACTTACTACATAATCATATGATTTGAAAAACCCAAGAGAGATTCCATGTCTTTGTTAGTTAAAAAAATGTTAAATGAAATTTCTTTTAACCAATTATACAGAGTGTTCCAGCAATGGTAGTACAACTGGGAAGGGGATGATTCTACATGCAGAAACGAATCGAGGAAAAAAGAATACAATTGTTTTATTCGAAGCTTCATTTTTGACAAAATCGACTTGGAATATCCACCAAATACGCTGATATACTGATAGTCCATCCGCCTAGCCAAAGTTGAGTGCACGCGTACTCGATGAATATTCGAATAAATTTTATTCTTTATTTCTGATCTGTTCTCTCATATAGAATCACCCCCTTCTCGAGTGTACCACCAATACTCATGTATTGATGGTCTATTCATATAAGTCATAGTTAAGTGTACATGTACTCGATAAATATTCAAAGCCGTTTTTCTTGAAAACAAAGCTTCGAATCAAAAAATTGTATTCCCTTTTATCGATTCATTTCTGCATATAGATATCACCTTCCTGGTTGTACTACCATTGCTGGGACACCCTGTGTGCAAATAAGCTGAAATGAAGATCTAGTTACAGTCACAAGTGACAGAAATGATTTATATCCATATCTAGCAATACAAAACCATCATAGAGTATACCATCATGGTATACCAATTGAACAAAAAAGAAGATAATAAAAAAATATATCTTTTAGTTTCGTTTAACTTAATAGAGATTATGATCATAACTGGCAGGAGATTTAATCCAATTCTTCTTTATATTTTTTTAAAACAAAAATTTATGCATTACAAGTTAATTATTCAGTTGTGTTTTGAATCATTCCAAACTACTCTTCAATTTATATTTTATACTAAATACTTAAACTTATGCTAATATTAAGCAATTTTTAATATGACCTACCAGAAATTCCGAGTAATTTTTACTATGGGCTAGTAGCTATTCCGAGACTATTTACAATGGCGCGAGTAAGTCTCTGTGGAAGATTGAAAATCTTACTTTGTCATTAAAAAAAGAAAGTGAAATTTTAAAAATATGTTTTATTAATACAATATAATTAAAAAATATAACAATACAATAAATAAACATTACTTTTTGAATTTCTCTATTTTATAGTATCTTGAAAAACAATCCTCAAGGTGCATTCTTAGCTTACCAGGACAAGTATCGCAGTATTCACTTGTTTCTCATCTTTCCCCTTTTTTCTGTCGGTTGGAGCAAATAATACAATCTCTTTTTTTACCTTTATGCATTTCATGAAGTTTCCCGCTTAGCTTGATCTCATAAGATGGCAGTAAAGTTCTAAATCTTTCTTGTTGTAAATTATTAATCAGTTGGTCGACTGGTTTTTTTTTTCCTCGCAATTTTATATATGATATATGAATTGATAACGCAAACTTCCATGCCCAAAAAAGACATTTTTCTTTACTATTTAAGGAACTTTTTCAAAAACCAATAGGTAGATGCGTATAGATCAGCTCAATCTACAACGCCCATGGAATTTGTGTAGTTGGCAACTGCATTATTAGGCTTTCTAATGTTTACTTCTATATCTACTCGAAGAATTTTTTTTGATTCCTTGATTGATGATTTTTCCTTTTTTATAAGCAAAAGTTTTCTTATTTGAAAATTTAAGTTTTTTCATAAAGGCCAGAATACCTTTCCTGTTAGCTTTTATAGTACCAGTTAAATGCTATTTCAATTTCATTAGTTTTTCTGCCAAAGGTATACTGGTATAATATCTATCAGTAAACATATGGTAACCTTATGCTTCGGGAATTTTATCTAACAACTTTTTACGTAAATACAAGGGGAATCCTAGTGCTTACTGGTAAATCTGAACGAATAAGATTTTCTGATGTAATATTTCCACAATAAGGTAGGATAGAATAGATATATCCTGTTTCAGAATCCGCCATCGTAGTTGCGATAACGGAGTGTAAAGTACCAGAAACATTAGAAAGAACATATTGCAATGTCTTATCATGTTTAGTTGGTTATTAGGGTAATTAACATTAATTATTACTAAAATTGGTGTTACTGTTACTAAAAGAACATATATGTAGCAACCAACGTTCATGCCCTCATCGCTAGATGGAAAACGGAGGTTCGAAATTTCTCGCAAGTCCTCGGTGAATCCTCGACTCCCATAAATACAAGTTCCCCTATCCTACCTAAAGCACCCCCCGTCTAAGGCAGAGCCTGCTAGGTAGCCTTACTGAGTCCACTAGCAGGGCCGGGACGAAATACATCCCTTCCTTACGTCTCTTCTACCTGCTACATAACATAGCAAAACGGTTACTAGGATTCCATTAACCACTTGTGGTGCAAAGAAATTCACGGTTGCGCGTGCCAGAGCAGTCGAGTGCAAATCACTTCGGGGCGCAAATAATATCACTGCCTCGGTAAAGAATTTCATTAACAGTTGACGTGCCACGCATGTCATTTTTCTTTCTGCAATAATCGCCTGACGACGTGTGTAACACGTCGCTGGTGTTCCGGTAACAGAAGCATCTCGACGTGCGTGGCACGTCTTTCCACCGCAAGTGGTTAACCCTTTTGCTACAGGCGGATCCTCCGCCGCGGTACTTTCCCAGAACGAGCCGCCGCGACGAAAATGTGCAGGGTGCGCGAGACCGATCGTCAGAGACCGCGCTCACGCTTCACTGTAACCCGAGTTGCTTTTGCCGGTGTTTTCGAAGAAAAAACTAGTCTCAAAACAGAGTATTTATAACTTCTTAACATGCGCACTTTTAATTACGGTTTGAGAAAAAATAAATTTAAAAAACTAATAAAGCGTACCTTTCTATCTATTGTTGGGAGAAAAGTAAAGTTAATTATCTTCCTGTAGTAAGCACTAACTTAATTCGCTACGAACATTCGGACAGTTGTCTCGAGACTGATTGTCGAGGCATTTGGTTTCCTGAGTATCGAGGTCCGTAATAAACAAATGATGCAAAACAAAATACTCACGCTGCATGTCCAGAGTGAGATACTTGATGTGCAATAACTGCAGACGCTCGTCGTATGTACAATACGCGGCATCTTATGGAGAGCAGCTATAATCGCCTGTATTAGCGAAAAGGTTAAGAAGCCACAGGAACACAAGCAATGAAAAACTCTAACCCCCGTGGGGTGGATCCCCACATATAGCATAATCTTTGTATTTATGTATACGTATTACAGAATTACATAATTTATGTGTAATCTGTTGCTCAAAATTTGGTCAAAATCCCATAAAAATTCTTTGTGTATGATGAATGATTCGTTGATAAGTGTTCAAACTTTTCACTCTTAAAGTTCTTGTTATCAAAACACAAAACGCCATTGTTTATATGTATCATTATTAGAGAAAAATTAGGTAGAGTTGCCGTATAACTGGGTCCTCGCTGATTTCAGTAACCTTGAAATATGTTACAAAGGACGATATCCGAATAAAATTCTTCTTTAATAAAATTGGCGGTCGACTTCAGTTTCTGAGAGATTCACAAAATTACAATTGTTCCCCTTCATGGAGATTTGTAGTGAAAGGCCAAAAATTTCTTTGTAATTCATAAGTAGCCCTTCACTTGGCGACAACAGTAAATATTGTAGTCATTCGACAACTTTACCAACAAGTATTAATTTTTATGAATTAAGTTAAGTCAGCATTCTAATTATTTTTCGAAACTCCAAGAATAGTTCGTATAAAGTATAAATATAATTTACCAAGCGAACAAGTTCTAAAGTTCGTGTAATCAGACCCGTCAAGCACTGAGTGCACCAGCTGGCCTTATGGATGTCAATTTTATGGGACAAAATGTTTTTTGCAAATATTTCAGAAAGTACGATTGATCACCAATTGTTTCAATGGAAGAAGTTGTTTAAAACATCACTATCTATAGCATATTTAAAAATCATCGAAATCGATGAGAACGTAATCTCTGGTAACTTTACTAAAAGTTATTTATCTAATTTTGTGTTCTGTAACCCAAAAGCATTATGTATAATATGTAATTTAAAGAAAAACTAAGTGGTTGTCATTTTACTTTATATATGTTGCAGCTGAAGAAACATATAAAAATTTGACTGAGGAATATATAGAGGACATTTTACGAGATACAACTGAAGAAACTTTCCTTTCAGTTTTTGCTGAAATAAAAAAATTAATAGAATGTCAACTAAGTACAATAAGATAAGTACAATAAATAATAGGACAAATTATAGATAGAAGAATATAATATATAGAGATATGCTACAGAAAGATTAGACAAAATTATCCCACTTTAGAGAAAAAAGGACTCTAAAATCTAAAGTTATTACGTTACGATTAAGATAATTCTTCGAACTATTTTTACAAATAATTAAATTTTTTTCAAAACGATCAAACTACAACCGCTTATCTTTGTTTTAATTTTAACCCTTTGCACTCGAGAGGCGCCTTTCAGTCGCCATTTGATAAAATTTCGCAAATCGATATTAATTAATATGTCAAATTTAAAATAATGTAACGGTGTGCGAGGTATCAATTATTATACGATTTTTTATTTACTTCTTAAAAAAATATCGTTAGCTTTATAGCAGAAAATCTTAGAACCCCTACTCTTCTTTAGCCAAAAAATCGTCGAGTGCAAAAGGTTAATAGTTTGTTATATACTTAAATGCAGTTATAGTAATTAATTAAAGAGGAATATAATTTATTTTAGGAAAATGAAAATATAAATAAATTGTAAAAGAAAATATATTGTTTCTAATTTATGGTATAAATCATAGGAGCTTGTTGCTTTCTATAAAACACTAATTGTAATTAATTTTGATATTTATTAATGTTTTAAATCACCTAAAATGTTATCTAGATATTACGATATCACCTAGGTATTATACAGGGTGTCTCACATAACAGTTGCTTTTTAGCAGTTGCTAACAATTTTCCGAACACTTCCGACAGCTTGCCACAAAAGTATCCATTTTCAGTTTTTAAATAATGTATATTTTTTTATCTCATATCATTGTAATTCGTGTCAACACAAATTCGGCGATTTGATACACTGTGACCTTCAAATGACCTTGAGGCAATTTAACGTCAATAAAAGGAAAACTGTAATACATATAATTAAACATATTTAAAAAAAAAAAAAAAAGAATATTAAGAAAGTAAGGGTAGATAAACTGAATAACTAGGAAGAGTAAATCATAGTGAATAGTCCAAAGAAAAAAGAAAAAAAAAAACAAAAGAACAAAAAAAGTTAAAAACTTTGTATATTGTTGACCAACCAACAAATTGTATTTTATTTCATAATTCATAATAATAAAATTAATATTTTAAATAGATACTAAAATGTTACATATACCTTAATTAATCAATTTAACATCAATTTTAATCAATCAATTAAAATTATATTCTACATTTAAAGTAATTTATATATATTACATTGATATTGATTTACATTACATTGATAATATCATTGCTATTGATATGTTTAAATAATTGAAAAGATTCCTCTGCTGGATATTCAATTAATGTACATTGAAACTGATCTTGAAAAGCATTTTGAAATACTGGTAATACATCTTGAATAGTAACATTCATATTAAGTTCCTGACTAATGCTTGTTACTCCTTTTTCTTTAATACCACAAGGATCAATATGATTAAACCAATTTAAATCTGTATTGCAATTTAAAGCTAAACCATGTGTTGTTATATAACGAGATCCATGAATACCGATGGCACAAATTTTTTTATCATTTACCCACACACCAGTGTGTGGAGATTTTTCTCCTTTAATACCAAATTCTGCACATAAACGAATAATCATATTTTCTATTTGACAAACATACCATTTCATGCTACTTTTAAATTGCTTTAAATTTAGAATAGGATATGCCACTAATTGCCCAGGCCCATGAAAAGTTATAAGACCACCTCGATTTGTTCTAAAAAATTCAGCACCTAAATCTTTTAATCTTTTCTCATCTTCTGTTGTATAACTTTTATCTCTGATTCCAACTGTAAATACTGGATCATGTTCAATCAATACCAATGTATTGCAACTACCATTTAAGTTTTGATAATGTTGATTGGATAATATTTTTTGTAACTTTAGTCCAGAATTATAACTTAATCTACGTGCCCATAAAACTTTCACTATATTTGCAGACATAACTACACAATATTTTTTGACAATTATAATCTCTTGCAATATAATTTTTTATACTGCAGTATATTTGTATTATTTAAATATATCATCATTCTCTGTCACTTTTTCTTTAGTATCTTTTACATTTGCCTGATTTTGTATATGTATATGCAAAAGCCAAGAAACCTGTAACAATATAGATCTATTTATTATTAAAATTAAAAGCACAAATGTAGTAATAATAATATCAATATCTATTTTTAATAACTAAAATATTACTGAAAGACATACATAGGCATCTGTTGCAGCATATATTTTTTGTTCATCATTTAAAGGGAAAATATGCCATTTACTTTTTCTCACTTTTGGATTCTTATCAATCTGTTTTTTTAACTAAGACAAAAAGATAAAAGAATTGTCAATATTACACAATAAATAATATCAATTTCGTTTTATTACTTCACTAAAAAATATTAATTTTATTTTAAGTCAATTATTAATAATTTATTAAATTTAGTTTTGTATTAAACTAACCAAATGTGCTGTTAATCTTTCTAAACTCCAACGACAAGATCTATTTAATACTTCATTTGCAAATTTACCACTATCAATACAATTATTTTTTACAACTTCAGAAGCAGGAAATTCACTGAAATCTCTACCTAGTTTCCAAATATCACTGCAAACAAACAAGTCGTGAAAAATGTATTAAACAAATCTTATTACAATAATTATATATTAGTACATATTATATATTTACTTTTTTATATTAACTCCAACTAATTTTACTTTTGAGTGACTTAAAAGTATAACAAATGCAGCTGGTAATTTTTTAAATGAATATATATGGAATAAATAACAGTTAGTTTCATTGAAACAAATTTGTGCTAATGCTGTTTTTCCACTTCCTGTTTGAAAATTGAAGGGCCACTCTAAATCAAATCCTATTGGAACCACATCACAATCATATTTTTCTATTTCTTGTCTACACAAATTATAGTAAGATATTTAATATACATCAATATATTATGTTTGTTATATTAGATTTTTTATCAATTTTAATCATATAAAACTTACATAATATTATCACAAATCATAGCACAATTATTAAAATCATTGATACATTTAACAGATCCTTTGAATTTAATTATTGGTAGTTCAGATATATCAATCTTTTCTTCAGTAGGGATAACATCTTCTGGCAATTTTATCTATCAAAATATTTGTAAATAGTAAAATACAAAAATATTTAAATTTCAATAAAATATGTATAACACTTATGCTAGATTAATACATATTGAATATTATATTAATGTATTCTGTATACCGATATATTTTATATTGAGATACAATTAATACAAAATATAATACATACAAAATCAAATGAGCATAAGTATTTGTTATTTTTTAAATTTACCCCATAGAAAATAAATGACAATTTAAGTACCTCAAATTTATTGACCAAAAGATCAAGGTAATATGTACAGTATTATTTAAAAGTGTCATATACTTATTTGCAGATATCACGAAAATAAATATATTTTATAAATTATAAATAAGTTTAAGGTTTATAAATATATTTTTAATATTTATAATATTATTTTGTAAGTATTTTGCTATTATTGAACAGCACAAGCAATATTTATTAACAAATAATAGTGATAAACGTGTTATAAGCAAAGTTAAAGAAAAACGAAATACAGTAATACCCACTTTAGTGTCAACAGTCAGAGCTGAATTTGTACGTTTCTATGGAGAAATGATTTTCACGAATTCAGTTGAAGGAAGAAGAAAAGATGAATATAAATATTTGAAACAATCGAAAAAGGATGGTATCAAGTTTTATCTGATAGTTTATCTCAATCAACACGTTTGAAATTCATTTCGAGGTTCCATTTCCAAAAATCTGTGTGGGTACGTACGCTAAAGCGGGGACTACTGTCGTATTAAAGAATTAACCTTTACATTACTTTACCTACTGCTTACTCTTTTTTCACGTTGTAATATAGCGGAAATCAGAAGCAAGGATCATCAAAACTTGATTATCATAGTCTGATAACCATGTGATTCATGATCTGCAGAAATCCAGTGTTAAAATCCAGTAAAATCCAGTTATAATAGATTATAATTTAATCTATTAGTTCATACCATGAATCAGTTTATAATAGGGTTTCTCAATAGGAACCATATAACCCATTAAGGGACTCCACATTGAATTTTTAAAATCACACAAAAAAATGGTAGAATTGAGACGTAATAAAAGAATATAATACAAATATCTATGTATATTCAAACTTAATCCAAGTTACATAAATTTAAACTTTTGAAAGGCATAAAGAAAATAGGGAAAACAAGCTATAGAAGATAGCAATGTACAAAAAGGAACTGTAAGTAAAAAGAGATTGAGAAACATTGTAATAACACTGCTTTATGATTTCATAGATGGTTTTTCTTATTCTTGCACTGATATGCTATTGAAACTAGTTAATTTTGTACAGTGTTCAAATTTAGATACTTCAAATAATGACATAAATAGTAATGTTTTTATTTATATTCATGATCTAGAGTTAATTCCCTTAAATAAATTGAGAATAGTTATCACACATAAGAATTAATTACTGTGATATTTTTTGCAGTTTCCTTTATTAAAGTTGAATTATACCATAAAAGGAAACAAAGAAATCTTACTAAATAGTAAATCTAGTTATTAGAAGAGATGAAAAAGAGAATGTATCTATACAGCTACAATTGATTTTTAAATAATAATGAAGTAACTGTGTTTTCAATATTCGTGAACTACATAAAAGTTATAAAATATTCATGTAACTTATTAATTACACCAATGACCAGTTACTTCTTAGGAGTTTGCTCAACAACTAGCTTACCAATCATACGTTATTGACATACTATACCAATGAAAATTCAGAACCAGGAGGATGATCAACGTAGGTATTACGTCGATTTCGAATACAGGGAAACCTTGGCAAGATGAATCTACCCATTATAAAAACGTCTTTGTTAATCAACGCTCTGTACTGTGGAACAACGCAGACCGCTATCTAACGAGGACGACAAGAAGCCACCAACTTTCATCTGAATCCGTGGAAGTTGGTTCCAATCATAGTATTCGCCATTTACGATTACACTACAAATATTCATAATATATTCCATAACTTTAATGTCACTATTATAATAACATATATAATATACTCCACAACTCTAGTAGGGCTGTTATGAAGATATACATATAGTATTAATAACTTCAAACTATATAATACGCTTATAAAATTAATCGAGTCTAAAAGTACAGGTGCTTTGATTTTTAAAACATGAAACACTTAGAGGAAATAAGGCACCCATGAGTAAATCAGTATCATACAATGTTACTTGGAAATCAGTTTTTCCACTTCTACACTGCTGACAGTGATTTACGAAGGGTTAAAATTCTTTTACATGTTTGAGATATTAAATTTTCGATATAGAGAACGAAATTTGAGTGTTCAAAGAGTTGCTCAACTAAAATATTCAAAGTTGCCAACACTTTAAATCCTAGATGTATGAAATCATCTGTAAATATTTATGTACAATATCATACAAAATCGTTAGAGACACATAATCAGGCTAAAATAATTATTTAGGATATTAAATCATTGGAACAAAAATATGTTTTGATAAATTCACTGAAACACACTTATAACAATGCTATTAGCAGATAAAAAAATCTATCAGAAAATTTAGAATGAATAACATCAAAACAGAATATAAAATATTGTACATAAATTGAATAATCTTAAAGGGCAATAGAAAAAGATCAGTTACAGATCAATTACAGATTAAATTATTCATTATGGAAAAAAGCTATATTGCAAATGCTCTATAACAAAAATATTGTTAATATGCAACATTATATAGTGGAAAGAAAATATGATATTAGGTTTTGCTGAATTGGTTTAATATTGGTTCACTGAAAAATGCCAACATTAAACTCTTAAATATTAAAAAAATATTATTTTCCCTGATATATTAAAAATTTACTATCAACTGGAAATGAAAGAAAACAATACATTTCATGTTTAGACTGTACCAGAAATAATGTCAGATATGAATAACACTATGAAACACAATTGGAGGTAACAATATAGAGTAATGAGTAATCTTAAAACGTCACAAGAAGCTTTTTCCATTGATAAAATTAATATATACTGCCAAAAAAATGCTACAACATAGTACCATTATATAACAAGATATATACATGGTAATGATAATAATGATAATAAACATGATAATAAACATAAATTCAACTCAAAGATATTAAAAAGTAGTAAAACATAACCAAATTCAGACAACATAAAGGTTTTATACTAACCTCTTTTCCTGAACCTGAAACTCATTAAGTACCACTGTAGGAACCATAGAACTTGCAATTATAAAAACTCAAATAAGATTGAATTATTAGAAGTTCTAACAGAAGGATAGAATTAAATATTTTGTTCATAAAAAAAATTCACTGAAAACTTCTGAACCAGTGTATTAAAAATTCTATAAATATACACATACATAATATGTAATAAATAGTATTTATTTTTTCTATTTTCTTTTAAACGATATCCCTCTTGTATTTAATCAAAATTTCTTTAATACTTGTTAAAGACTTTTGTATGATACTAAAAACTACATTATATAGCGTCTGTAATCAACACGTGTGTCGTAGATTTAGAAATTACGTTATCTCAATGATATAATGAGGTGATATAAAAAATCTGTTGCAATTATCATAATGGTGTGTCATGAATGTGGAATAAAAAGAATCCGCTTACAATAAGCATTTTACGGCAAAATAGCTGTATAAAACCATTCGAACATTATAAACTATCAAAGTTATAAAAAATACATATTAATTAAAATATTCATTAAAAACAAAACACTATATTTATAATTCCTCACAAGATCGAGCATATACATAATACAAAAATTTTATTTTGTACAATCTATATTTATATATTCGATCTATATTTTTATTAATAAAAATAAGTAGATACATATATTCTGACATCACAAAATTGTATCATATATATAACAAAATTTTAAGTAATAATTAATAAATTTAATTCTAATATTTCACATATTCATTTACATTTCTGACAATTTGAAAATATCTAAACAAATTATATTAATTTCTTAATATAAATATATAATAAATAATAAAATTTAAAATATTTCGCTTGGTTTTAGATTTTGTGCCCATTCTGTTCATAATTTGAAATATAGATAATTTAGTTTTGAATTCTTTTCACTAATTTCAATTATATTCCAGTTTAATGATTGTAATAATGTTACAAAAAATGTTATTATAATATAAGTATTAAAAAAGTATAAGATTGAATAATCCTCTATTTGTATATTTAGTTCTGTGAAGTCAAAATGTATATGATCTTTTTAATTTTTATTAATAACAAGGTACAGAATGTTACCTCTAAATAAAAAAAATTGAAATATTTTGTAAAGGAATGAATCCATCATAGAAATGTTCTCACAAAAAATATTTTATATACAGAACATTAAAATACAGAATAATATTCCTTCTATAGATGGAAAGATGGAGAAAATTCTAAGATCAAGTTTATGCTTTAAATAGAGTAATACAATAAAAAATTAATACAATAATGCCATATGCCATATGAAGTTTTTTTATCTTTTAATCTCTAACTAAACTTAGTTTTGATGACTAAGTTTTGATAACTTAGTAACTTGAAAGACATAATGAAAATAAGAACATATTAGGCTGCATGATGTAGAAAAAGATTGAAATTTTTATTTTACTTCTTTCTAAAGTTACCACATATTTACAGATATCAATTGTAAAAACATATTAAACAATTTGAATTAGTTTTGTTCAGTACACTTGAAAAAATTTAGTGAAACCAAATATTATGAACAGTTCAAGTTACTTTATGACAACTAAAGAATTTATGATATAATCTATAAAATTTCACAATAAAAGACTTCATATAATATATTATATTTGCTTCAACAAATGTTATGACATAATAGATAAAATACTGCTCCATTTAAAAAAATAAACTTGACCTTAATCTCCATCAGGTTACCCATAAAAAAGATATATACCTCATAATGTCCTGTTCTGAATAAAACAATTTTTGTGACAATATTTTTTTGATGCATTTGATGCATTCCTTTATAAGATATTTTAATTTAAAGGTAACATACTATATATAAAAAATTTCAGTCATAAAAATTAAATATGTATAAATATATAATTAATTAATGCAATAGCAAAAATGAAATGTGAAAACAGAAAAAATCACATCTACAAATATGATTATAAAATTCATTATAAAACTGAACATAATTGTGCTTAAAAAAGGAAATTAAAAAACAAACTAAACATCTATAAAACATAACTAAATAATGGAAAATGCATAAAAAGAAAGAAGAGTTAATTTATAACAAATATGTTATATACAATATGTTATAGATAAATAAATAATATAGGAAATTAATAAATTAACTATTCTTTATAAAATAGTATAACACACTGTGTTATAAAATATGCAAACCTATAAAATGACTTAGTATATATAAAAAACATAAATCCAATGTCAATAACAAAATTTGAATAAAAAGGTATTTTAATGAAAATAACATTAATAAGGAACTACAGAAGAAGTCATTAATACGTTCAAAATCATCAAAAATATGTTAAAATAACTTTTAAAAATAAAACATAATAAACAATTAAAAATAATTTATCTTTAAATGTAAACTATATACTTAAAAATGATATATAATATAATAATATATAAAATTATATAAATATATACTTAAAAATATTATTAAAATTATATATCATGAATAAAGGAGTAAAGACCCCAAAAATATAACATTATGTCATATTAACAACATAAACATTAAGACAAAGATTAAAATAAACTATTTAAAAACAACATTATTCAATAATTTATCTATACAAAGTATAAAAAATTGCATCTCACGACTAGCTTATAATGAATACAATATATAAAAATAATTTTTAGAAATATAAATAAACATGTATTTGTTTTTAAATTGTTTAAGTTGTACTCAAATTAATCATTTAATGAACTAAATGAACTTGTCTACTTTTCTATCAATGAAATTGAAAAAGGATAAGTTAAACTGATCAATCATAACTCATTGTAATACACAAAACAAAATGAGATTATATATGAATTTTTCAAATTTGGTATAGTTAGGTATGAATTATTTTTGTTCTTTTCAAGTGCTGAATGCCTAATGATTCTCAGATGCTATGATATACTCATATATGTACTATTTTAACTTCTTTTATAATCATAATATATGTATTCTACCCTAATGTTATAAATTTATAATGAATCATTATAACACAAATTATTTAAAATACGTGTATAATATTATAGTTTCAAATGTCAAAAAATTACCACATACTTTTAAGTCTAAGTCAAAACATTACATAAAATGTGTACATAATATCAAAAAATATTAGAATTAATATAATAGTAAATAATATTAACCTTTTTGGATCTTGTAATTATTTGGTTATGATTACATGCAATCATTATTGCAACAAAACGAAATTATGTCACTAATGCAATACAAAATTCAAACAAACAAGAGTAAAATAAACAAAATTATACACTTCTTCTAAGCATTAAAATAAATTATCTTACTTTTTCATACATGCATTTCTTATTATAATTCTGTACACCGTACAGTTACCAACCTAAAACTATTTTGTACTGATTGTTAGTTATTATTTATACTTGTAAACATAGGTAAAGCGTACGCGAAAATTTAAGCTAACTATTAAATTGTATAATAGATTACATCTTACAAAATTAGCTTGAAGTGCTAATTATTTAAGACATAGAAATATAATGAATTTAAAATTCTCTTCTTATAGAAATCTCTATTCTAATCCTTCTCTAGAATGCTCCTAGATTTCCAAGATTCAATAGTAAATCAAGTTCTATCGTGTTATTTTTTTACTTAAATTAATGAATAAAGCAAGATTTAATAATTCATTCTAATACAAATTTTCAAATAAGTAATATATAAAAAGTTGGAACTGCAGAATAAATTTCAAAAAATACAATAATATTCGTTCAAGTTTTCAATTATGACCCGTTTATAAATCATCAAAATAAAAATTTACATATAATTCCTGAATAGTAAAAATACTTATTTTCAAAAAATATTTTTCATTAAAAAATATAAATTTTATGAAACTCAAACTCTCTTACATGAAAGAAAAAAATCATATTCATTCGATTACTTGTTTCAACAATGAAAATACATAATTAACAATCTATATAAAGATAAACAAGTATTTTAATAATATTTATATTATAATTTCTATTTATATTTATAATTTATATATTTATATTATAATTTTAATAATATATTATAAGATAAACATTATAAAATATTCCGTTCTGTATGATATTTGAAATTTCATAGTTATTTTTAGTTTTAATTTCAATTGCTAGTAATGTAACTTTATTGTTATACCGAGCTAGTTACTTTTAAAATGACATTAAAATGGTAAAGATGATCTAGGGAGAAATCTTTAAAACAAATAATTTGGACAAATAAATACATTGGATGATAATCATCCTATGCCCTCACTCGTGCTTATTTATTATCTATAATAGGTCTACCCTATAATTTTTTGTTTTTCTCTTCTTCGATAGTGGAAATAGTGACAACAAATTTGCTATTATTCATATATTGAGGGCACAGTATTGGTAAAAAAGAACTCTACAAGTTTGTATTAATTATAAAAATTGTTAAAAACACTTTTTGTAATATAATTACCCTATAATTGTTCTATAATTTATGCAATATTTGAGATGATAATCGTTTATTTTTAAATACTCAATAAAATTTTTTTACAGGGATGAGATATTTCTATTATTATATCAATTAGAATTCAAAATTATTTTTAGCGACAAAACTCATATTTATGCTATACATTTAAAAATTACAGAATAATCAAATAGTAGGTAGTAAGAAATAACGAAACAAACATTTTGTAGTTTTGTTTATCTTAAGTTATCCTAATACCTACAAACGAATAATTCAATATAGATTATTATAATACTATGTACAAAATTAAATTATTTTTTCTACTAAACTGTTACTAAAAATAAAAGAAATATGAAAATGAACTAACTAAATGAAACGTCTTTTATATTAATTGTTCAGTTAAATCTCCCTCCAACTATAGATACACATGTGGCATTTCTTAGTACTATACATAAAACTAGTTAATCTATGTTCAAGAAATTATACTGTGATAAGAATATGACCACATATTCTTAAAGATTTATGTTGTGAAATTATATTGTACTTTTAACGTTAATCTATATTGTAGTAGAAGTTTGGTTAACAAGAATGTAAATTTAGTTATATCAATAAAGACTAAAATTAAATATTATTTGATTTAATTTATTTTATATATTTATTAATACAAACTACTGTAAAGAAACGAGAGAAATATTCAAACTTCGTTACTGTAATTTTTTGTACAGTTGTGTATTACAATTTAAAGTTTACTTAAAAATTTAAGGCTTTTGAAAGTAACATGTATATACTTAAATCTTATATTACAAACTTTATACAAATTAGATTTTTTGTATATTTTAAAATTAATACATTGTTTATTTTTCTTAATTTCATCATAACCGAAATACTACATAAGTTATTATGTAGAATAACTGTAAAAAAAAGTAAAATTATTTATTTCATTTTTCCATTTAAGGTTTTTAAAAATAAAGTGAAGATGACTTTAAAATAGAACTTATGATAGTGTAATATGTATTGAAAGTCTGAAAATAATTATTAAGCAGTTATAAAAATAGCAGTGATTGTAGCAACAGTAAATAAGATTTATTAAGATCGAACATTGTTATTATACAAAATTATCGGTATATTATTATATACTTTCAAAGAGATTTCAAAGTTTCTACTAAAATTTAATGTATATTGTGAAAATTTCGAGGTTAGAATGACATCGACAAATTTCATCAAGAAAGGAAAATTGTAGTAAATATATTTTTATATTATATTTAATATATAAAAGAAGCATACAAAGCAAATATTTGACAAAATGGAAATTATTAAATTCGATGAAGATTCAACACAAATATCGCGATTATTTTTAATGTGTATTTATTATGCTGCTAAAGATGGAATGGCTATTATTCTTTATAATCTTCTTAATAGTAAAGATTCCAAGATGATTAATGCTATAATCAACCAAAAAGTATTATACGATAGTGGACAATATTGTACACTCTTAATAATAGCAGCACGATATGGTCGTGATAAAGTAGTTAAAATATTGCTCGATAAATTTAAACCTGACTTGGAACAAGAAGGAACAGTTAGATTTGATGATGGATATAGTATTGAAAATGCAACTGCTTTATGGTGCGCTGCTGCAGCAGGACATTTGACAGTTGTAAAAATATTAGTAAAGGCTGGTGCTAATGTTGATCATCGTACTAAAAATCTATCTACTCCATTGCGAGCAGCTTGCTTTAATGGACGATTAGACATAGTTAAATATTTAATAGAACATAATGCAGATATAAATATTTTGTACGAGTTTAATAATACATGTTTAATGATTGCTGCATATAAGGGTCATTTAGACATAGTAAGTATAATATTGTAGTTTTAATAATTTAAAATTATATATTTAATTTATAATGTCAATTTCAGCAATTTTAATTATATTTACTACAGGTAACATTTCTTTTACAAAAAGGTGCAAATCCAAATGAAAAAACAAATTGTGATACTACTGCATTACATTTAGCAGCTGAACATGGACATACTACTATAGTATCTGAGTTATTGACATATGGAGCAGATATATCAAAAAATGTTAGTGGAATGACACCATTAATAACAGCAGCAGAACGAACTAGAGCTGAAGTTGTAGAATATCTAATAAAACATGTCAGGGTTAGCAGAGAGGAAACCATTGATGCATATGAACTTCTTGGTGCTTCTTATGCTAATGATGAACGCAACTATTGTTTAACAAAAGCATATAAATATTTATGGAAAGCAATGAAAGATAGGTAAAAGATATTTATAATCTTTTTGGAAATACTATTTCAAGTCAACTAAATAATTTTTTTATATTGTAGATTCAGAGATCCAGAAAATATTATTTATAAAAAGTTAGGTAAAAGTATAAAAGCATATGATAATTGGCAAGAATGTCAAACTTTGGAAGCATTGAAAAATATTAGAAATAATCAAAATGCTATTCATATGGAGTCACTGGCTATTCGAGAGAGGATACTAGGTTATATTTTCATCTTAATAAATAATGAATAGAATAATCAATAAGTAAAAAATGGAAAAAATAATAAATTTTTTATTTTCTTTTTATCTTATTCATCTTTATTTATTATTAACATTAGGACAGCATAATCCGAAGGTACCACACCATATTATATTCAGAGGAGCAGTTTTAGCAGACAGTGCTAGATTTGATAGATGTATAGATCTTTGGCTTCATGCTTTATATTTGAAACAATTAAACAATATACCAGTTGTAAAAGATCTTTTAAGGTTTGCACAGGTATTTTTTAGTCTTTATTTATTAAAATAATCTTATCAAAAAAATTTTTTTTGATTTATTACACATTTTTTGTATTTTCTTTTTATTTCAATTATTTCTCAAAATTTTATTTGTAGGTATTTTCTCAAATGATACATGTAGGAGTAGATCTTGATTTTCCCCAAGTTTTGAATGTCTTAGAAGCCTGTGTAACAGGCCTTACACATTATAAATCTAAAATCAATAACCCTGATTCTGAAAAAGATATTGAACAATATATTGTAAGTAAAATAAGTAGTTTATGCATTGAATTAAATTATATCATAAGTCATAGAAATTAAAAATTACAGTGGGAGATGGAATCTACTATTATAATTACATTGTACATATTAACGATATTAACGAAACTTTTAACACTGAACGAGAGTAGATATGAAGAACAAGATAAAAATAAGGCATATCATTTAGTTCATAAACTCTGTGCTTTGGAATTACGTTTAGGAGATGGCCAGACACTACTGCATCTTGCTGTAAATGCTGCCACTCCCATAGATGGTTTTCATACTAATCATGTTTGCAAGTAAGTTTAGATGTTTTTCTAAAAGCATTATAAGTAAATTAAATAGATAAATATATTTTACTTTTTCTTATATTATATAATTATGATAAAGTTTTATTAACATTCTTTTTTATTATCTTCATTTTTAAAGTGGAATATTACAATTCATAAATAATTCTAACAAAATTTGAAATTTACTTTTTTATTTTTATAATATTTAAAATTATAGATTATTTTTAATGTGTATTTATTATGCTGCTAAAGATGGAATGGCTATTATTCTTTATAATCTTCTTAATAGTAAAGATTCCAAGATGATTAATGCTATAATCAACCAAAAAGTATTATACGATAGTGGACAATATTGTACACTCTTAATAATAGCAGCACGATATGGTCGTGATAAAGTAGTTAAAATATTGCTCGATAAATTTAAACCTGACTTGGAACAAGAAGGAACAGTTAGATTTGATGATGGATATAGTATTGAAAATGCAACTGCTTTATGGTGCGCTGCTGCAGCAGGACATTTGACAGTTGTAAAAATATTAGTAAAGGCTGGTGCTAATGTTGATCATCGTACTAAAAATCTATCTACTCCATTGCGAGCAGCTTGCTTTAATGGACGATTAGACATAGTTAAATATTTAATAGAACATAATGCAGATATAAATATTTTGTACGAGTTTAATAATACATGTTTAATGATTGCTGCATATAAGGGTCATTTAGACATAGTAAGTATAATATTGTAGTTTTAATAATTTAAAATTATATATTTAATTTATAATGTCAATTTCAGCAATTTTAATTATATTTACTACAGGTAACATTTCTTTTACAAAAAGGTGCAAATCCAAATGAAAAAACAAATTGTGATACTACTGCATTACATTTAGCAGCTGAACATGGACATACTACTATAGTATCTGAGTTATTGACATATGGAGCAGATATATCAAAAAATGTTAGTGGAATGACACCATTAATAACAGCAGCAGAACGAACTAGAGCTGAAGTTGTAGAATATCTAATAAAACATGTCAGGGTTAGCAGAGAGGAAACCATTGATGCATATGAACTTCTTGGTGCTTCTTATGCTAATGATGAACGCAACTATTGTTTAACAAAAGCATATAAATATTTATGGAAAGCAATGAAAGATAGGTAAAAGATATTTATAATCTTTTTGGAAATACTATTTCAAGTCAACTAAATAATTTTTTTATATTGTAGATTCAGAGATCCAGAAAATATTATTTATAAAAAGTTAGGTAAAAGTATAAAAGCATATGATAATTGGCAAGAATGTCAAACTTTGGAAGCATTGAAAAATATTAGAAATAATCAAAATGCTATTCATATGGAGTCACTGGCTATTCGAGAGAGGATACTAGGTTATATTTTCATCTTAATAAATAATGAATAGAATAATCAATAAGTAAAAAATGGAAAAAATAATAAATTTTTTATTTTCTTTTTATCTTATTCATCTTTATTTATTATTAACATTAGGACAGCATAATCCGAAGGTACCACACCATATTATATTCAGAGGAGCAGTTTTAGCAGACAGTGCTAGATTTGATAGATGTATAGATCTTTGGCTTCATGCTTTATATTTGAAACAATTAAACAATATACCAGTTGTAAAAGATCTTTTAAGGTTTGCACAGGTATTTTTTAGTCTTTATTTATTAAAATAATCTTATCAAAAAAATTTTTTTTGATTTATTACACATTTTTTGTATTTTCTTTTTATTTCAATTATTTCTCAAAATTTTATTTGTAGGTATTTTCTCAAATGATACATGTAGGAGTAGATCTTGATTTTCCCCAAGTTTTGAATGTCTTAGAAGCCTGTGTAACAGGCCTTACACATTATAAATCTAAAATCAATAACCCTGATTCTGAAAAAGATATTGAACAATATATTGTAAGTAAAATAAGTAGTTTATGCATTGAATTAAATTATATCATAAGTCATAGAAATTAAAAATTACAGTGGGAGATGGAATCTACTATTATAATTACATTGTACATATTAACGATATTAACGAAACTTTTAACACTGAACGAGAGTAGATATGAAGAACAAGATAAAAATAAGGCATATCATTTAGTTCATAAACTCTGTGCTTTGGAATTACGTTTAGGAGATGGCCAGACACTACTGCATCTTGCTGTAAATGCTGCCACTCCCATAGATGGTTTTCATACTAATCATGTTTGCAAGTAAGTTTAGATGTTTTTCTAAAAGCATTATAAGTAAATTAAATAGATAAATATATTTTACTTTTTCTTATATTATATAATTATGATAAAGTTTTATTAACATTCTTTTTTATTATCTTCATTTTTAAAGTGGAATATTACAATTCATAAATAATTCTAACAAAATTTGAAATTTACTTTTTTATTTTTATAATATTTAAAATTATCATTTTATAGATTTCCTTGTGCTGGAACGGCTAAGCTACTTATACGTTGTGGTGCTGATGTAAATGCAATGGACAATGAAAGAAATACACCATTACATGTTATTGTTAGTTATGGAGAACCTATTAGGTACAGTTATTTGTAGTGTTTTATCAAAAATAAAAATTATCAATAATTTTATTTATATATTGTGTATGAGAAAAAAATTTATTTTAAATATTAACTAGATATTTACATTTCTTAAATCTTTAAAAATTTGTTAAGTCTTGCAGAAATATTTTCATAAAATTTTTGAGAATATAATATATATAACTTTCAAAATTTTACAGCGATTTTATGACTCTTCATTCCATTATCATGGGACTTATAGATGCTGGAGCACATATGGATACAGTAAATAGTGAAGGCAAAACTCCATATGATGCTGTTACTACAGGTGCATTAAATTGATCTAAATTCAAAACTTCTTATTTTCAATATTTTACAATGATCTTTAAATTTATTTATTAATTTAATCTTTTTTATACTGTTAATAGTTTAAACTAACTATTTTAAATTGTTAAATTAAGTATAATTATATATTTATATCATCTTTATATACACAGGTGTAGCAGAAATAATACTAAGATCTCAAACAAAATTATCATTAAAATGTATGGCTGCAAAAGTAGTAAATACTTATAATTTGTCATACTGTGGAAACGTACCACGTTCTTTGGAAAGTTTTATTGAACTTCATGGACCAGGTCTCAATCAGGGTTAAATAAATTATTATTAAGCAAAACAATTATATCGATAATTGTATTAAATATACTCAATTTAAATTATTTATTCTTGATGCTGTGAATTTTTTGAGAGTGTAATATACAAAACGTTTAAAATATTAAAAAAAATGTTTAACAATTTGTTAATTGTTTAACAGTGCAATTTTTATTAACAATACAAAAGCTATCTTCGTATTATGTAGATGTAGATAATGAATTTTTTATAAAAAAGGATTATAGATTTTTAAGAAGTAAAATCAAACAAAGTTAACTACTAATTGATATAATGAATTTCAAATTAAGGAAGAAATTATAGTTAGCAATGAAATTTTGTAATTATTGAACAGTCGAAAATCTAAGAATCAAGTGGAAAGCAGTTAAAATATCTATGGCAAGTAATAATATCTTCTTATATTTATGCCAATTAAACTCTTTTATTAGATTTTCACCACAGTGCTAGTATATTTAACTGTGTTTCTCAACAATTCTCTTCTACTAATAGTATCATTGATTAATAACAGAAAAGAAAACAATTTGTGTTTATGCAATATAAATATATAATTTGTTCATAAAATATAACTAACTAGATGTTATATTACAAATTGTAATTAAATGTACATTAATATAAATAAATAACAATGTGATAAATACATAGTGTCTAAGAATAAATACTCTTTACAATTATTAATAATTAGTAGCAAGAAAATAAAATTCTCTGTATCTTATTTTGTACATATTATCAGAAATATATTATTTTTAAAAATTATATCATCATTATTTCATATTTTATAAATAAAACACAATTCTTTTTATATTATGAGCAAACAAAAATGGAGGAATATATTAAAATACCATAAAACAATATTAATGTTGAAATTTGTTAAATATGTGAATGTATGTATGAGTATTATTATTAAATTATTTTTTACTGAAGCAAACATATAACAACAATATTTAAGACAGTTGGCAAGCAATGAAACTTGAAATTGTGGCCATTTACTTAAAAAAAAGACTATAAGAGGCAAAATTTTGACAATGGACAATACTCCAATAAAAATAACATGTATTCTTATAGAAACTGATAAATAAAATTTATTTACAAATAATTATTATTAATAAGACTATACGATAAATCTAAGTAACTGTATCTTATAAAATGTATTGGCAATATATGAATCAACGAATGTACATATATACATACGTGTGAATACGAAATCCCTCAATTTTTATTATGAATGGAAATTCCCCTAATCATAAATAAAAACTATAAAATGTAGATAATATACACAAAAAGAGCAAAAAAGTCAAAAATTGTGAGAGTATTATGTAATCAAAATCTGAATCGATATTAGAATGAAAAAATCAAACAATTGCGTAATAAGTTCGTTTTCATTTAAAAGTTGAAATCTACTTTAACACGCATAGAGCGCGCACACTACAGTTGTGCTTGAGAGCATAGTAATATTTAGAAACAGCACAATAAATTATTAAATGCTAAATAAAATTTTAAATTATCACTAATAGTTCCCACAAAAAATATGTGATTTTTTATATAAATCATTCTGTATAATATTTAAGCGTTTATTAAAATCCAATACTTATGGTGCTTATGCTATTATTGTATTTAACACATTGAAATTACAAAATTTAGTTTACCAATTTAATATTTTATTTTTAATCACAAAATTATGATATAGATTAAATATATAAATACATAAATATGTCATGAAGATACTGTTTTCACATATATATAAATGTAAAATATGTAATTTTATACAAATTGTAATAAATAAATAATTTTTGTTCGTAAATAATTAATAATAGATAATCTTTCAAATAATGATGAATAAATATAATCATATGTTTGTAACTAGATTTACATAAAATTTATATAATATTTATGCAAAAAGTAGTTTTAATTTTTTGTACAATAAAAAATAACAAGTATAAATTAATGGATATAAAATTACTTATTCCATTAGTTAGATTAAAGCAAATAATTGCATTAATCTATCAAAACATGCAAATATCTTTGATTGTAAAGCTCTGTTGTCAATACACCTATAATCTCTACTGCATTATGCAAGGAATTAGCAGGATCCCTAATTAATTTAATAGATCGTTCTATATTTCCTTTAAGTGTCACGTATTGTTTGTTTAATATAAGTCCTTCTAAAGTCTTCATAGCTTCAACAGCTTCTCTACTAGGTCGAACTTCCATTACATCTGGTTCAGTTGTTATTGATAATGCTACTCCAGGTGAATCAGGTGTAAATCTTACTAACTGTTCATCTGACTTTGATTCTGGCAATTGAGCTAAACAATACACCCCTATTGCACGACACAAAAATTTGCACCTATATAAATATAAAACATTATTTTTAACTCATTGAAATAATATATATGTATACTTTATGTACAGATTTTACAAAATTTGTGCACTATTGTAATTAATACAAATTGGAAAATATATTTAAATTAAGAAATAATATTTATATATAAATGCTTTTATAAATATGAAACATTTAATATAAAAAATATTATTTATGATAACATTATAATTAATCATTTATTTCATTTACCTCATTGAAAAATTGGAATTTTTCTTAAGGCCAATAGCTTCTAATATCCCCCATCCTTGTCCTCCATCATCAGCAAATACTAAGAGTGAATGTGCTAATCTTTTAAGTGCTTTAGCAGCTGTTTTAGTATTTTCATTATACTGACATTGTCTATATGCTAATTCACAAGCTTTTGCCCAAAAAAGGGGTAATTTTTCTTCATTTACATTTCTAAATACCAAATATATTTAAATAAACACGAGAACAGAAACATATAACTTCTAAATAATTTATACTTACATTGGTCTAATAGCAGAAATCCAATCAATTAAATTTCTAAGATGGATTCCTTCTTCTCTAATATCTTGACACGTGGGAAGTCGCTTAAGTAAAATGAAGTACAAAGTAAGAAGTTTCCCTTCAAAAACTAAAGATAATTCCAATAATGGCTGTCCAGGTATTTCTGATTGTAAAATTGTTAAGACTGAAGCCCAAGTTGGTGATAGGTCTAATAGATGTTATTATATAAATTAAAATACTATAGAAAATATTACTATTTGGCCTAAACATTAAATGTATTGTTCACTCAAGACAATTATGATAACATATATTTGCTTGTTTTACAATATGTTATGATTATATTATGTTATGTGTTATAGAAAAAAAATTTCAGTAAGTTCTCCATTCTCAATTAAACAACTTTCATATGAAAAATTCATAATATTTTAAAAAATTAGATAATTGTATGAGTATACCTAATCAGAAATATTATACAAATAAAATGGAAAAGAATCATGTTTGGATAATTAACACTTTTATAAAAATCATGGACATCATGAACATCTTCCAAAAATTAGTCAAATAGTTAAAGAAAAAATTATGTTCTAATAATTACAGAATAATACTTGTATTTATATCACATACCATTAAATGCAAAATATGCTTCCAATGCAGATTCCATTAATTCTCCAAGTATAGATGGTGAAGTAACTCTTGTTCCAATAACTTTAAGTATACTCAGGAGAATTGGGTTGTTACCTGTTCTTTTTGAAAGCCATGCTGTCCAACTAGTAAGAAGATGTTCCATAAGGATTTTATTTTGATTTATAATAGAAAATAATTCAGTAATTAATAAACTTGCTTCTGCAATTTGTTGTGGTTCTGCAACGGCTAAAAATTGTATTTTTAATTTTAATATTGCTTTACATAATTTTAAATACATACAATAATTCTAATCATAAATATCTTATACTTACTATTTATAATAACTGCTTCCATATCATCTAATATTTTTGATAATGTATCGTTAAATGCTTTTGGATGTGTGGATAATAAAGATTTATATTTAGCTGTACAAGTGATTAATAATTTTATTGAATAACGTATATACAGTTGTCTCTTTTTCAATGTAGTTGGATGAAAATAACTTATCACAGGATCATAGCCTGCTGCTATCTTTAACAAACTATTAAATAAAATTTATTAGAGAATGCCTAATTTGTAATTAAAATTAGATTAATAAAATAAAATTGTATATACTTATGTATAGCAGTATCTATAGGATGGCACAGCTTATTATGAACATAGAGAACAATTCTTGAATCACAACTCATTAGATGCCAATTAATTATGTGATCATATTCAATAGCATCTAAATAATGCCAAGAAAATTTTTCAGCTTCCACAATTAATTGTATCATTTTATCAGTCTGAAATATGTTATTCATATATTAATATATTCTTAAACTTAAGCTATGAACAATAGTCAAATCCTTTCAAGTGTTCAATCCCTTTTATACTACTATATATACAAAATACACCACATTAAGTTTGAATTAAATGAGTAATATGAAGTAATATATAAAATTCTCTATAATAATTTATTTTATACATTACTTTAAAGGAGGTAAGGATAAAAAAGAAAAAAAAATAAAACTTATTGTAAGTGAAAAGATCTACAGTGAGTCACAGCCAAAATTGTACAATACATATCAGAAAATGTTTTGTCTCATAAAAAAATTTAGAAATAATTTGGATAAACGAATTTGATGGATATATAATACAAATGTATCTATATTTATTATGTAGTAATATAAAAATAAATGAACTTTTCCAAGTATTAAAAAAAATAAAGTTATTAGATTTCAATCTGAAAAACGCCTCACAGCCAAAATCACTACTGATACTTCCATTATATTTTGCAGGGAACCCCTGGAAACAAAGGAAAATCATGAAATATATGAAAGATTATATTGTTTAGCTCGTTAGCAAGCAATAAACTCGTGTCATAAAGTCAGAAATCGAAATTAAAATAGAAAAGTAATAACGATGAAGCAAACAACGGTAGAAGAGCGATTAACTGTTGTAAGGAATCTTGAAGATGGTAAAAGTTATCGCGAAATGGCGAAGATTATTAACAAAAATGTCAATACTGTTCAGTATATTGTAAAACGATAGGAAAGTGAAAATAGAATAAGTAATAAGTCAAAAAAAGCTCCCAACAAGAAGTAAACTACGTATGACGAAAGGTGGATAATTAAAGACAATCCGAGGATTAGTGCCCCTAAACTTCCTAACGAAGTTGAAACATATTTAGGAAAAAGTGTAAATTCGGAAACAATAAGAAGAGTGTTAAGAAAACAAAATTTTTGTGGCTCGAAATAAACCACTTGTGAGCGAGAAAAATAGAAAAAATGATTATATTTCGCAAGAGACTATTTGAACAAAGATTTTGATTATTGGAAAGGGACTATTTTTACACATGAAAGTAAATTGAATATCATTCATTTGGGTGATAAAATTACAACGTGGCAATGAAGAGTTCAAAATAAAAAATTTAAACTGTATAGTGAAGCATGGAGGCTAATCAGTGATGCTTTAGGGTTGTATGTCTGCTGCTGAAGTGGGTAGTTTAGCATTTATCGAAGGCAATATGAACAAATACGATTATGTGAATATTTTGAAAATAATTTAAAGAGCTGTGCTGAAAAATTAGGAACTTTAGACCGTCTTAAACACGCGTTGCATATAGCTAGGATGTGGCTTCCAAAGTAATAAATATATTCCCACAATCACCTGATTTGAACGTTATAGGACACATATGGTACGAACTAGAAATTAGAATTCGGAAACATAGCATTAAAAATAAAAATTATTTGAAAAGCATTATTACAGGAATGGAGTAAAATTGACTCCAGTTTTACTAAAAAATTGATAAGATTGTTGGAAAATAGATTATGTGATGTAGAACGTAATCGAGGGAACCCAACAAAATGTTAAAATTTAATTAAAGCAACTTAATAAACAATTTCTTTTTAATGTATGATTTTAGCTGTGAAGCGTTTTCTAGACAAAATTTTAACAATTTCAATTTTCCATGTATATAAAAAGGTTCATTTGATTTGTATTAATAAATATAGATATATTTACAATATATACCCATCAAATATTTTTTCCCAAATCATCTTTAAACTTTTTCACGAGACGAAACATTTTCTGATATGTGGTGTACGATTTTGACTGTGACTCATTCTATACCAGAATCATCTTGATTGAAAATGAAGTTAAATATAATTTCCCATATTTGAATAACAATATGAATTATGCTCAAGATATTTATCATATTTTTCGCAAATAATTCCGTGTAAGCTACTAAAATAGCATGTTAACCATGAAATTCAAAGTGAAACATTCTTTGTATTTTGTGTATTTCTGTGTTTGTTTTAAATGTAAAAATTATAATTAAAAGAAGTCATTTTTTTCATATAAAATAATTTTTCTAATTAATCATAAAAAAAATAAGCCAGAAATATGAAATAAAATTTTTTGCTTGAGTTTCGTTATCAAATTTAGAGAGAAACAAATTTATTTCAAAATTTTTTTGATATAGATATAGCGGGTATCAACAAAGTGACGATACCGCCTAAGTATAAAATTCTTATTTCTTTATTTGAGATCACGTATTAATGGTTTATGTCGATAAGTGGGTAATGAAGGAAGTTTCTCTTCAGATGCTCTTTCCGACAATATTCAGGGTAATTTTAGAAAGGAAAAATGTATTCGTTGGCACATAAAAATTTACTAATTTCTAGTTTAGACAATTGTTATTTGAAAATTTTATATTATTTCCTTACGATATGTAAAGAAAATGATCTTATGTAATAGAAATAATATTAAGTACAAGATAATATGTAATAATAATATACGAAATCGTAAAAGATTTTGTATGCCTTATATAGGCTGACAATAAATATTATTTATACAGATAAATACAGATCTGTGTTATTTTTCATTCCTATTACTGATTATCATCCTTTCTACAACAGAATAAAATCTAGATAAAAAAATATATACCAATTTATATTAGAACCGGAATGGAGTCAACCTTGCGGCTTGTGTAATTATGCGACGGCCCACCGTCTGAATGTTAATGTGTGTGTATGTGTGTATTAAGAGTTTATTAACGTTTACAAAATTTTAGATATTTTAGATAAATATATTGATTGTGAATTGCAATGAATTGTAATATAAAAATGGCTATATATAGAAAATAAGGTCTAATTATAGGGTACATGATTCTATAATTTAGATTCATTGTTTTATGACTCCCATTTATATTAATATTAAAATAAATCTGCAAAGTTATGAAATACTGTATAAACAATTGTTTACTAACAAATATCTTTACTATTTAAAATATTTTTACTGCTTATATAAATAGGATTAAATACATAGTTGAGATTATTTAAAACATCTTCAAATGTATTTTCTTATAATTTCAAAATTACTAAAATATACTTTCTATGTAATATAATTTAAATTTTTATGTAATGTAATATATTTTATCCAACGAGACGAAGTAAAAGATAAAACTACATGTGATCCATGTGTAGAAGAAAGTCACGGCTAATACACAATTTTAGGTACTCTTAAAGATAAGCAAATAAAAAACTACTTGCTTGTGAGGACCGTCGATAAAGGACTGCTACAAATTCGTTCCTGTGCGGCAGTTGCTTAATTGTAGCTCAGCACCGATCTTATGAACTTTTTGTTTACTTTTTTTACCTCGTCTCGCTGAACAAAATATAGATAGTGTTATAATAAATTCAATTATTTATAATTTTATAACATTCAGATAACGTTAAACATAAAAAATTAACTTCACAATGTTAAAAATTTTTCTAAAGTAAAATGTATTTCGTTATTTAATTACCTAGTTATATTCTATTCCACATGATAAAGTTGTTTAAAATCTATTATTCATGTATTTTTTAGAAAACTCATTTGTCATATTACTTATTATTACTATAAGTGCTAAGAATGTTAAACTGAATTTGAATGTATATTTAAAAAAAACCAAGATAATGTATAGCTAACTAATATATAGCAAAACTGGCAAAAGAAATTTAAAATACATTCCTTAATATTTAACTTATAATAATTAAACTTATAATTCCATTTTTGGACCTTATAAGTTTAGATTTTTTCTATGAAATATAATAGAAAATAACAATATCTGAGGCTATAACATGTTAATGAAATATATATGAATAGCGAATCTTTTTTGCTGTACATAAATTACTACCTCATTGACTCCAAAAATTTATTAAAGTTCAAAACAATAATTTTAAGAATTAAATCATAAATTTTATACTACTTTATTATACAAAATAAGGTGTATTTTGTTAACCATGAAATACATTTTATTTAAAAATTGTCAGAGTTGACAAATATAAATCTTTGTATCAAAGATGATCTAGGGGTCACAAAAACATAAGTCACTGGATTTAACACTTTTTGTAATATTATGTAAAAATTAAATATACCATGCAAAAAATATAAATGATCTAAAAACAAATAACATTAAAGGAATGCTTGAAAAATATGTTTTGTTAATCATAACTATCTTTTTTAAGATGAACGAATTTTATCTATAATATTAACCATATACATAAAAGCATTAAAAAAATTTTAGGTAGTAAAAATATACAAATCATCTTATAGTTCATTTTTTTATAAATATAAAATATATATTATATCTTTTGTAATAAATTGTAAAAATATTTGTAATATTTTTGCATTTGATTTTAAGTTCTAATATTTCTCACATTTATACAGTAGTAGCCAAATTTTGGATAAAAGTTCTACATTTAAAAACACAAATATAAGTTTATATTAATATGTTGTAAAACACACAGTAATTACCACTAAGACTAGATTAAAGTACTGCTAAAGAATAGTATACATCAACATAATTATATATAACTGTATTAAATTATGTTATTTATTTCAATATATGTTTATCTCCATTTGCAAAAGCCAAATAAAAAGAAGTGTATAACACATTCAAATCAAGAAAATAAGAAAGAAGTTTATAACAGATAATAATACATCTAAGTGTATTCAAAAAATATCATTGAGATGGGCAATCATTTATCACGTAATTTTATTATTACCATTGAGAAGGCAAAATATTTTAATAAAATTTGATCAATCTGTGGAGTTACTTGTTATTAATTCTCATTTGTTTAAACATGAAATGAGTAAATATCTTGTATAGTAAACATTGAGAACATAATACATTTCGAACTTTCAATCAGTAAAGGCCAATTAACTTGCAATTTAATCAAATAATTTGTATCTTAAAAGATGAATGCTTTTGAATTCACATTAATATGTTCTTTTTTTTTTCTTTTACACGTAAAACTTTTATTCAAATATAAAAATTATATATATTCATTTATACAAGCATATGACTTGATCCAAAACGAGTTTATTAACTTATAACATGATGATAATAAATTACATAAATAATTAAATAAGTAATAATGAATAAAATTAAGCAATAATATTTCACAATTATTTTTGATGATAAAGTAATTCCTTTTTTGGAATAAAATTGATTAATAAATTAATCCTCAGAGTTAGCCTTTTGAATACATAAGAAAAATCTTCTAAGCAACTAATGAAAGTGAATATTAAGTAACTTTGAATATTTTCATGACTTAGAAAAATAATATACATATATCATAAAATAATAAACTCGCTTTGAAATTTAACTAAAAAAATATGTATAATGCATTTAAAAAGCCATTTCAAAATCACAAAACAGAGTAAATTTCATTTAGAATATTTTCCAGTATTATAATAATTTGTGTATATTTATGTATATGTATATGTGTGATTGATTGATGTTAATTAAAATGAAACCTTTGTACATATAAACATTAAAATATTATTTATAAGAGCAATATAACTAAGTAATACAGATATAGTTGATTACCTGTCTAACATTTGGTTCATTGGATAATTTTACCAATAAATTCAATAAGCAGACATGTGTCCTTACTATAGTACTCCATGAGTGTGTTGATGATAAATCATTTATCCATGATGACCAATGTACACATGTAAATATACTTCCAAGAAATAAGTGACTATCTGGCAAATATTGATCAATCACTTTTACCATCAATTCCACATCATATGCCTGTGGATTGAAACGATCCCATGGCAATGATAAAAAATTGCCATGAATAACATTTAAAATATTATCTTTGACTGAAGCATGTGCAAAATTGGTAATATAAAACTGCCAGACGAAACTGAGAATTTTGCTAGATGTTGGCAATGCATCAATAATAAAACGAATACATTCAACAAACATTGCTACAAGTTTGTTAGCATATGGACCATCTGCAAGAATCCAAGGCAGTAAAACAGATCGATCATCTGTAAGCTGTTGAATCCATGCAGCAGTTGGATCTTTCAAATTTCGTGTTAAATATGGTGCAATCCAAGGTGAATACATTTCACTTAAGATAGGCCATATTTTCTCACACACTTTAAATAATACAATATATTAATTATATTTATCATATGTATTATATACAATACATATATAATCTATAATGAATTGAAATGCTTACATTGATCTCCTAACGAGCCTCTATCAGATTGAAGTGTAAGTGCAACAAGAGCATGACCAACCATACCAAGGAATGTACTTATAGGTTCATGATAGATCCTATATTTTGGATACAGTCCATAAAGACCATATTGTAAACGTTCTTGTATGAAATGTCTACTTAATAATACAGCTGTATCATATATCTATAATCAAACACAAGATATGAGTTTGTTTTAAACTTACATTAAAAGTCGAAAAAATATATAGAATATTTCATACTTAAAAAGACCAACCTCTTGTTGAGAAAGAAGTTTCTGCTCAGTAGCATAACGACGAATATCATCTCTAATTTTAGAAGGCTGAGCCAGAAATGTATTTCTTGATTTGCCACTGAGAGTGTTTAGTAAATCCTGCCAAATATCCAGTGATAAATTTTGACATTCGCTGCCTTTCAATACAGCACTCAGAACTTCACCATAATGTTCAGGAAATTCATGTAATAATACAAGTCGTAGGTGATTTCTAAATAACTATAAAAAATTTATTATCAAAAGAAATATACCATAGGAAGGATTTTTTCATTGAATATACAGTATGTCTGCTTTAAGTGTATCCAATGTACATCTAGTAATGTTACCGCTAGCAATGTTAACTTTGAAAGTTAATAACTCAATAACGACTTACATAAAATACATCTATAAACGGTGTCTTGAAAACTTCTCAATACTAGCTTCAACGATGGATAATAAATTATAGGATTCCATTTAAAAATTTGAATGTGACCTTTACAGGATTCTCCAAAATTATCTCAAGGTTAAACAATTATTTTATCGTAATTATGTTGATTTATCATGCTCACGTATGAATTATCATATCACGTTCGATGAATGTTTATTTGCATTTCTGATACTTACAGAAATAATCGCATATAGACACTTAAAACGGACATACTGTATGTATTATGACATATGTATTATGTATTATAATATAAAATTTACTTAATATAAAAGTACCTCATGCAATATCAATTTCGTTTCTTCTGGATTAAGGCCCATATTACAAAGAGCTCTAGATACTAAATCTATGAACGTTGACCGTTCACTTAATCTTGGACGTTTATAATTCAACCAGATTCCTACATCAAACTAAAATGAAAATGTGAGTAAAAGTTATAATGTCACTTTAAATATGTACATTATAAACTATATAAATAATAATTAAAAAATAGTATGACTATTATATACTATTTATTAGAATACTATTATATTAGAAAATATTTTACAATAACGTACTTTTGACAATAATACGAAACAAAGATCGACGTTTGGACTCATAGAAAATTCCACAACCGTTTGATACATTTGTAAAAATGTAGAAGCACTACCAGCAACAGGTGTAAAGTAAGGTCCAAGTAAACCACCAAGATTTGGTTTTTGCATAATAGTGCTTAATAATTGCAAACCTTGACTTTCTTCACCATTGATAAATAACTATTAAAATTAACATTATTTATATTAATAATATATCTATTAA